CAGTGAGCTCTCTGCATGGCCCGCTTCCTCCTAGCTGCATGCTATTATAATGCATTACTCTGTGGAAATTACAACAGAACAATGAAGGGAAGGAGGACAAACAAAGCAACACCAGGGGAACCGATTCCAGTTTGGTCAAATGTGAATCTCACAGCTGGTTGGTCCACTGATCAAACATGAAAAACATACAATTTCATACATGTTTGTTCATGTCTCAGAAATCCAGTCATCATGCTGATTAGACATAATTTGATTTTAAAAACTTACGAGGACAGAACGACCGCTACTGCATCATTGAGGACGCTCTCTCCAAACAGTAACGCATACAAATCCACGTCAACCTGCAGCTCGTGGAAGATAGCCAGGACCGTCACTGTGACACCAACAGAAACACATGAAAACTGACATATACTGAAAAGACATTTAAGCAATTTCCTTTAAGCAAAATGCTGCCATGTAAGAGTACAAAGAAGAAAATCTCAAATGTGGTTACTTTTGCCCCTTAATGCTGTCAGAAATTTCACTCAACTTTGTCTCTAATTTTTGCATCAAGATGATTATCTTGAAAGCTTTTACAGAATTGGTTAATTGATCTATTTAGCGCTTATGTCTTCACTTTATTAAAGTCAATGTGTTTCAACTTAAAATCAGTGCAAACCTGCGCACCTTTACTGAGTTTAGGCAGTCTGAGAAATAAAAGAGCGACAATTTCTGAGTGCCTGGAAAACAAAAATGTGCAGACAATGTCAGCAACTAAACATGTTATCAGTACTTTTCACTACTGCCAGCAGAAACTAATGTTGGCTTTTAGATAAACATTTCTAAGAAAGTGTCGAGACTAAATCATTTTTCAAATTATCAACACTTAGTTTGCAGCAACTGCAATCAAGTAGATAAAATTAGACATAACACCAGCTTGTGAAAAGACTGATAATAATGCTGGTTGTGTACTGAGTCCCATTTTTTTTAGATTGTATATTAATGACTTTCCTGGAGTTTGATCACCTCATGCAGGTTCAAATGTGAATTTGTATGAATAATTATAAATTTATATTGTAAAAAAACAATACAAACTGGGTAAAAAAATGTTTATATCTGTATCCACATTCACAGTGTGTGTTCTGTTATTATAAATGTGTATAATAATGTCATTTATTTGATTAATTTAACCCTTCTAGACTGAACATGTCGGCGACAACGCGGCCGAATTTGCAGTACCATAAACATTTTGCGCTATCTGAAAAATTCCAACAGTTTTCTGAAAGAGGAACGTTGCGCTTTCCAGCCAGGATTTGAAATTACTAAGGTAATTTCAATCCTGCCGTAACAGAGAGCATGTTTTTCTTCGGTTTAATCTGATGAGAGACTTTTTTAATAGACAGTAAATTGCAAAAATAAATGCTATATATTGAAAGTTCCAGTTCAGAGGGTTAAAATATAATCCCTGAATAGAAAACATGATCAGAAGTTCATGTGAATATATACCCGGGTCTGTTGCTGAGACAATGGCTCCAAAGAATAGACAGTCAGTGAAGAAGAAGTCTCCACCCATCTTGCCCAGGTGCTTCATCAGCGTGACACAGCCGTACATCAACAACCTGTTGGAGGACAGCTTTAATTATCTTACTAAATGGATTATCGACACTGTAAAATGCACTAAAGTAGTTAGAGCTGTGTTTTTTTTCTCAGTGCTGTTTCTGAGCACAATCATCTCACCCAATAACAAAACAGGAAATCACTGTCCCCACGAAGGCATAAGCCAGGATGGATCCCATGTTCCGGAAAAAATGTCTCTGGAAAATAAAAGCAAACATGCAGCTAACTGTACTGAGGTTACAGTATTCAATCATAAATGAAAACTATTTATTTAAAGATCTGAGGATGTTGTACCCTTTTCAAGCTGTAGCCTGCATGAAAGATGATGGGCGGGAGAAGAATGTTGAAGAAAACCTCAGGGTCGAACGTAACCTGAAGCCCACAAAAACAAAGATATTTATCAATAAAACAGCGAAATAATCAAATGCTTTGATGCTAATTAATGTTATGTTAAATTAATTATTTAATCAAGAATGACACAACTGGGACATTGAGTAAAATAACATGTTAAAAGAGGGCAGCGACTGAATCAAGCATCAATTAAGGCTGAGATTATTCTTATTTTAGGTCTGAATCCAGACCAGTGCCAAACTTGTCAGAGCAGAGAGAAGTTAAGACATTTTTATTTTACACTGGGTCACACAGGGAACAGCCTCTTATAGCACTACAGTACACTGAATTTAAGCAGATTTTTTTTTTCACTTACTGTTTGTGTTGAATTTGGGATTCCAGAGAAATAAAGTCTTTGGAAAAGTATTTCCTCAATTAATTAAGGATTTTTATGTGACAATCCAACAGAAAGCAGCACAGTTGTGAACTGGAAAGTAATGTATGATTTTTACAACTCTAAATTACTAACATAACAGTGATAGGTCGTTTTACAAAGTATTATCTCAGAGGAGGTAAATTATTTGTGTTTCCCTAAAAAAATTTAGAACTTTGCAGTTGAAATTTGACAAAATGTAAAAAACATTCAAATAGTATAGTATCATTTTTGCAACCAGATGCTAAAGCATGACACACTTCTCTATTTAACCAGAAATAACTCAAGTGCTTTGTGTTGTTTCAACTGCAGTTTCACCCTTCATAATTGTGCATTCATTTATTTAAAATAACCAGAATCGTGGCTCAAACTACAAAGCTGCAAAGTAAAGTAACACACCAAAATACTCACTCAGTCATCAGCAGTAACTACCACAAATGTGAGAAGATGGCCCGTACCTTGCGCAGCATCTCGTTGTCTTTTACGTCATTGGCACTGAACTCCCCCCTCAAGGTGTATTCGTAAAATTTGCCACTGACATTTAGCAGCATGGTGGCGGGGCTGGAGTTGACAAAGCATGCCGACACGACGCTGGTGTCCCGAGGGACCTGAACGGCGTAGCGCAAGATCACCCCGACAATAAGGCCTGAGAAAAGAGGCGGAGAGCAAAAATAGAACAGAGGAGGGTTTAATTTAAGACAACAAAGCTCCATTTCTTTTGATTGCATTTGGAATTTTCTCTCAAACACGTTTAAAAATAAGAGCCTGGTGCTTGGGTTTGGTACCTTCTCATCCACATGGAGGGGGAAATAAAATAATTTCATTCACCCCTGATAAATTTAGCTTTAGTCTCACCTTCATCACACACGTTTTTATGCCATCAACAAGCTGCTGGTTAGTCATGTCTGAATTTCTGTTTTGCTACTAAATCTTTACTTGCAGTGGTGTCTAAACTTTTTGCCTCAGAGGCCAAAACTGTTAAATTTAAACTACTGGCAGGTCACAAAATTCATTAAATAAAAATCAGTTTATTTTCATTTTTCTTTTTACCTGCTAAATCATGTTGCCTTATTAGAAGAAAAACAGATAATTTCCAAACTTCTGGGGTCCATCAGTTGATTTCTGTTTTTTGGACCCCTTACTTGTATTTGAGAGGCTGATCAAATTAATTTCAGGGCCACAAATGGCCCCCAAGCCACACTTTGGACTCCCCCGGTCTAGTGGATTTAATAAACAAAGTGCAAAAATGCATTGACTTCCTGTTAAGTCTGCAGATTAATATTTACAGAATTAAAACTGATGTGCATGAGTTTTTGGGTGATACAAAAAAACCAACATGTCAGGTTAAATACGAGGAAGCAGTCAGTGCAGCTTAGCATAAGCAGATTAATTACTGTCTCGTGTCAATCAAATGTTACCAGTTTAACCTGCGTGGAGGGGAAGTGAAATGTTTTTGATGTTAAAAAGGGAACAGAAGAGCAGCTGCGTCTTTTCAAAAAGAAACTACGGCTTAAACTAAAGATCACGGTGTTGACATTTCACATCTGATTGATATCTGCGGGTCTGATGGCGTCTCCCAACTGTCACTCTCACCGTAAATCATGGCCAGCCCGGTTTCGTGCAGAAACCTGAAGCGCCGGTGCTTGAAGAGCCAGATGGTTAGGATGGTGAGGGTGAGGAGCAGGATGAAGATGAGCAGGTCTGCGCTGTCCTGTCTGTGGCTCTCCTCAGCCTTCTTCTCTGTAACGATGTTCTCCATGGCACTGTCCTCCTCCTGGGCTGGAGATGATGCTGCTGAGACACTGATGAACACACACAGGCTCACCAGAACCAGCAGCCGCAGCGTCCTCAAAGCCCGCAGCGAGCCGTCCACGCTCGTTTTTGTCAACATTTTGGCTATTTTCTGATAGGGTCAATGTCGTAGGAGTTAAAAGAAAAAAAGAGAGAGAAGGAAATGAGTCACGGACTGAGAGAAGAGATGACAGCCAAGACGGCAGTAACAGAGTCAACCCGGAAGTGAAAATAATTTTTCTCCAGCAAGCGTATAAATGTGTTTCACGCTAAAAGCATTCTTCAGTGTTGTTTTAAAATTAGCCAATGCTTGAAAAAAAAATTTTTTTTGTTTAAAACAATAATTTAATACTGAAATCTCAAACGTATTAAAGATTTTGAGCTTTTAACGGAAATTACCCATTTCATTCTGACCTGCACATTTTTATTTTGAAATATGCATCTTATGTCATTTTCAACAGGAAGTGAATCCAAACAGGCATTTAACAATTTTTTAATTAACGCTGCGAAATATAACTTTTGCGATAAAATCAGTTAAAACATTCTGAAAATATTTGTGACTCTTTTGCTACTCTAAGCTAGAGCTGCAAGTCTCGCGATACAACCCAAATGCAACGTTTGCATTTATCGATATTTGTAAATTTAGATAAATTAAAATTGAAAACGCACCGTATTTCACATAGACGCTTTCCTTGTAATTAGTTCAGATTTAAATAACTCACCCGTAGCTCATAAACTCTTGTATGAAGAGGTGAATCTTGCACTTTTCGGATGATCATGCACATTTTTAATTTCACAATTATTTTGTTGATAGGCGTCAGCGGAAGTGTACAGACCAGAAGGAGTAACATCCAACAAATCCGAGGTGGCAGTGAACGCAGCACAGGAAAAGCATCACTCCACAGTTAGTTTAGCATATGGCTAATCTCTGTGGTCAGACGATACCTTGATTACATCTAAATCGTTCGTTTCGACTTTTCTTTGTTATTATTCTGTGCGGATCTACATTTCATTTCAATTGCAGGCCTCGTAAATCACGAAGCTGGAAATGACGTCTAAAATTAAAGGTCAGCGCCATCATTTAGCCTTCTTTGCTAACATTAGCATTTGCTTACCTTGGTTTTTTATTATTTATGTTAACCACATCTGCATTGGAGGAATGAACGCAAACAAATGTAATACAGTGTGATAATTTAAGTTTACTGCATTATATCAATTATAACAATAGCAATGTAAACGTTACAGTAAACGTCTTTGGTTACTATGTTTACCTGCTCTCTTTTGCCTTATAAATAAAGCGTGACAGCTGCAGTAAGCTTTGGGTAAATACGTTCATTTTATTTAATTTGATCGTCTTCTTATCCAACTCTGTGTTTAACTAGAAGGTTTAATTTTTGTAATTATTATATTCATAATAAACTAAGTTACAAGCTCTTAGTTATCTCATAAAGTGATACCAGAGCCTTGTCTATGTTTATGTTTTGATTCTAGTGGGAAAGGTCGGCTCCAAGAGCAAAGAAGATGCTCCTTATGAGCTGGAGAGCCAGTTTGTCTTGAGGCTTCCTTCGGTGAGGAAGTTTACCCCTTTAATAAAAGTCAGCATGGTACACTGTGAGTTTAAAGTGATGTGAATTCACTTTCTGTCTTCTTCAGGAGTACGCCTCAACAGTCAGAAGGATAGCGCAGTCCAGCAGCATGAACATGAAGGACAGACTTACAATCGAGCTGCACCGTAAGTTACTTTATCAGTATTTTTGCCACTATTCTGTGTGATATGCTTGACCTGTTTGCTAAACTACTAATTTCACTTCATTTGATCATGAAATTAATCTCACAAGGTCTGCATTGCCGATGGGAGGGTAACGTGCACTCATTATGGAAAGGAATATCATTTTGATTTCAACCATTGTTTTATGTTAGTCTTTAGAACTGAAACTGTGTGCAGGAGTTTGAATTTATTGAGAATTTTCTCTAATGCACACAGAGCCTAAATGATGCATACAGACTCAAATATGAGTCTCCCATAAACTCCTGGTATAATTCTTACTGGATGTTTGGCAACTCTTCCAAAAGTCAATTAAAAGTTGCTAGTTTCCTGCACTGCACTGGCACAGCTTTTAAGAAAAGCCTGTAAATTTTTAGTTGGGTTGAAGTTGGGGGTCAAGATTCAACAGGAAACTGATTCAAACACATATCAAAACTGGAAGAAAAAGAACAAATCAGGGCATCATTACACAGCTAAAACCCTCACATCATTTCCATTGAACATATTTGGACTATACTTTAACGCTAATTTGATGGCAGGAAACCAACCAGTTTAAGTTAACTCTATCAGTGCTGATAAGAAGAATGATTTGAAGTCCATTCAGAATTTTGCCTAAACTTCACTCATAACTTTGAAAACAGAAGAATATTTTGCTAAATATTAGCGGGGTTGCATTTGTAACCCTTCTTTGTTCATCTTAGGCTGGCGTCACAACAGACACAATCAGGCTTACTGAGTGAAATGCACAACATTAACTATGATAACAGTCAGAAATATTTGCAAAACCTGGAAAAATTACTCATGAAACCTTGTATATAATAATATATGTTAAAATAAAGAAAACACAGAGCTGATGCTAATACATACCACAGTTACAGACGGCAGCAGAAAAAAGGAGATGAGCTGTCTGTTACTGGTTGCTATGGTAACCACCAACTGTCAAGACTTTTTGACTAAAAAGACAAATTTGAAGTTTAAATAAACCAATTTTGACAATTATGTTGAAAATAAAACTCTGTTACATATTTAAGTTTGTATTAATGTTTTTGACTGTGTGTGTGTGTAGAAGAAGATTCTGGTTATGTTTATTATGTGTTTAATATTAATCAAATTGGATTCATGTTTTCACCAAGAAAAAGGCAAATACATCTTTCAGAAGCATAACATTTCTTCATGTGAACTTCTGTCTTGAATGAGTTTTATTTTTACATTCTGGTTTCATATTTATTAGCATTTAAAACATTTTTGAATCCATTCTGCAGTATTAGTTTTCAGTGAAAGCACTGCTGATTAGCAAATCATACTTGCTTGTGGTTAAATTCAATTAGGCGGATTCAACAATTTTACTTCTTATCATTTCTGCAATTAAAAACAACTTTCCTGAATGGTGTGAACACAGAATTTGGATATTAATCCATAAAAGCCCTTAAAAGTGTTCTGGAAATCTTATGCATTTACTTTTTTAGTTAAGAATGTTAAAAGGTAGCTTTTTTTTTCTCCATCTGTCGAGAACGGAGTAAAAACCAAAATGCTTTCATTTCTCTTTTTTCTCTGGTTTACAGCGGATGGTCGTCATGGGATAGTGAGAGTCGATCGTGTTCCTCTGGCCTGCAAACTGGTGGAGCTGCCTTGCATGATTGAGTCCCTGAAAACAGTCGACAAGAAAACATTTTACAAGACAGCTGATGTCTGTCAGGTAAACCTTAATCTCAATTTAAACTTTTTATTCTGTTTTTTTAGTGTTTTGCAACCTTAAATTTGGTTAAATTTCTTATTTTTATTTATGTGGGATAATCCAGTTGATCATTGTCAAGTGGAAATTAAACAATAAACATTTTCCAATTTGTTTTTACTAATCAGGATCAGAAATTTTTGGAAAAACATCCATAATTTCCCTTCCATTTCACAATTATGTACTACTTCATGCCCAAAGAAATTATTACAAGTTTGCAATTTTTAATATGACAAAGTATTAAAAGTTGTTCAATAATTCAATGTTTTCTGTATCTGTGGTTAGATGCTGGTGTGTACACTAGATGGAGACCTCTACCCTCCTTTGGAGGAGCCAACCGGCACTGACCCAAAGACTAAAAAGAAAGACAAAGATAAGGACAAGAAATTCATCTGGAATCATGGCAGTAAGTTGATAAATAGCCTAACAGGTCTTGATTTTTAAAAGATTTTAGCTAAAAAGGTCTTATATTAGCAGATTCTTCTTGCTAACTGTCGTTTCATGTCCACAGTCACCTGCCCTCTGAAAAACACACGCAAGCGAAGATTTCGGAAGACGGCGAAAAAGAAGGTTTTAACATTCAACACTGTTACATTTTTTTTTTTAAATTCTCCTCCAGCATTCCCCACCTGTCCGCTTAGCGTACTGTTTGATGACCTGTCTTTTTTATGAGCTCTCCTCCAACAAGACATTTCACATTTCATAAAACAGTGGTGAAAGTGAAAACTAAGATTTACATATAAATAAAGCGTTTCGTCTTAGATTTCCCCAAAGGCATACAAAAAAAAAAAGCCATTTCACAATAGCTCTGATCAAAGTGAACGAGAGCGAGCCGAAGCTCTACACTTCTACTTTGTCTTGAGAATGGATTTTCCTGAAGGTGTGGAGCAAAGCCATATTGATTAGGCCTCCTCTGTTTCAGTCGCTAATGTCCTTCCTGGCCGGCAGCCAGCTGCTACCTTCACGTGTTTGTGGTTGTGTGTGTGTGTGTGTGTGTGTGTGTGCATGTTGGTTTACAAGTATCCTGATCTTTCTCTCCTTTTTCCCCTGCTGCAGTACATTGAATCTCCTGATGTGGAAAAGGAAGTGAAGAGGCTGCTGAGCACAGACGCAGATGCTGTCAGTGTTCGTATCCTTTTAGGCACCTGTGGTAAAAATATTCAGTGCATCCACTGGAAAACTGCTTGTGTTGTTGTGCTTTACCAAGCAAAATAAATCTGGTACATGTTGAAGAAAGTAGAAGATCACACATTCAGGTTCATCTCAGTATATTAGAGCAGGGCTGTCAGACTCACTTTTATTTTGGGCCGTATCAAAAGTCTGAATGTTCTTAAAGGGCCGGTTATTCCAGAACGTATAAATAAAACCCACTAAGCTGTTAAAATATTAATAAATAGCTGCTTGTTTCAGTATTCAATAAGTGTTTCTTAAAATTACATAATATTGAACATCTTTTCACACTGCTAAGTCCAACCAGCATTTTGTGATTGTCAGATTTTGTGATTCTAATTTAGAAATATTTGTAAGGAATTTTTATATTTGCGCTAATCTCTGATCTTAAGTGTGACTTTTTATCAATCACTGCATTGATCACGCACTATAACTTGATATCCGGTAAGGTTGAGGCACCAGTCACTTAAACCCAACATTTTTGGTCAATTTTGTGAAAAATTTGCAGTAAAAACTAGAAACGAAACTGGGGATCTGTTGATTTTGTGTGGATTTTGCGGATTTGTGAAAAACTGGAGGGACTAATTGATGTAATTTGAAGTCTTAAGGGACACATAAAAAGCCCAAGGGATCTCAGCTGAGTTACTCATGTAGATTGAATCAGTTTTCGATAATAATCTATTTCATATAACCTCCACACATTGTCTTTCTTATGCTTTTATTATGGTTCCTTTTGCTGGGCTGTGATTGGTCAGTCACTGGAAATGCCCACAGTTTTATACGATTAGATGTTTAGATGGGGCGTCTTTCTCCTCTCTGGTGTGACCGCCATATTTGCTCCCCTGACTTTTATTTTCCCAGCTGGATTTGTCCAACACTCGGCCTCCTGCCCAGCTCACCTTATTTGCCTCTGTGTAAAGCGTTTGTGGGTGAAGTTGCGGTGTGAAAAGAAGCTTTTAAGGTCTGATGAAGCTCTGAGCCTGCCTGACAGAATAAGAGCACAGGGAGGCTGCTTTGTGTGGCTACTCGCTGAGAGTTAATTGAGACGGACTGTTCATTATCACTGCTTAGTTGAGCACTGTAAAACTAGACTATTTATAGTCCCATTGTTTGCATACAGCTTTAGACATACACACAACATATGCATGTAGAGATGTGGACAAAGCTGGAAAATGATCTGTTTTTCTAGTGGGGAAAAATCTAAATAGTTTTAATGCAGCCAGCAGTGGGAACACTATTAAAGCTCCTCCTCTCTGTACTCTGCATAACCTTTTTTGACAATAGGACAGGACTTGTCTTAGAGCATTTCTCAAGTTTGGTGTTTGCAGAGAGGAGAATCCTTCATCATTCCTCCTGCACAACCTTTCCTTCTCTCTTTTGCTTTCTTCCCTTAAGATCGCCCCACAAAAACCATGAAAGAAGTCTGATTTTGGAGCATTTCTGAGTTGATGTTTTAGAACTAATTTTTATCTTGGGCCACTTTAAGATCTTAAACATCCTCAAAGAGCGAAATGTATTGATAAAACTACAGATTAACAAATCGTTAGTTATACGTTTCTCAACATATGATGAGTATGTCATAAAATTAACCTGTTTTCACATTGTAATTTGACACTATGCAAGAAACTGATTTGATTTTTATGGCCCTCTGAAGCAGGGGTTTCCAAAGTGTGGCCTGGGGGCCATTTGTGGCCCTTGGACTGAGTGTGTGTGGCCCTCAAAAGCTGTTGAGAATGATAGAAATTTGGTCCATCCAACTTGACTTTTTATTTTTAAATTAGGATGAAGTTCTTACCAACATTATTTTCTCATAATGGAAAAAGTTAGGTGCAACACAAAGTTTATAGCCTAGCTTTTATTATAAGTAGAAAACCGTTTATTCAGAGATTTTTACTGACTTTGCTGAAATAAAAATAAACTTTTATTTAGTCTACTGAACTTGGCTAATTATAGCAAGCATTTTAACGGAAAGTGACCTAAATTATGTTCTTGTAACTGAGAATAACTTAGTTATACTGATTGAGCCCAAAAGAATTTGAAAACAAGATGCCTTTCTTTAGATGTAGCAAACCTACAAAATAATTTTAACATTTAGGATCTATAATCAATAACCCCCTTTTTCTACTAATAACATTTTTTTTACTACTTTTTTTGCTTTTTTTTTTTTTTTCTTTTTTTTTTTTTTTTTTAATCGACAAAAAGTTTCAGCACCCCTGCTCCAGAGTCTTGAGGGCTGGATTTGGCCCGTGGGCTTCGAGTTTGGCACGTATTTTAGATTCTTTTCCTGAATAAATCAATATGATAACTTTATTCTGGTAATATGACTTGAAATTTTATGACTTTATTATCATATTATTACGACTTTATTCTTATGACTTTAATCTCATAATTTTATTTATTTATGTTATTTCTTACAGAAAATGATTAAAAGAACTCCCCATATTTGCATTGTTCATTTACGACAGAAAAGGTTCTTCTCTGGCAAACCTTACAAGGAACTGGTTGGCATGACGACGACTTCAAATGGTTGCTATGGATACTGGGAGACCCTAAGAAGCCACTCCTTAGAACATTTCCGTTGCTGTCCTGCTCACTGTTCATGTAGGATCAATTAAATACGACTTTGTCATATCCGTAATTATTAGCAAGTTATGGTAGTAGTATTTTAACATGATGTTTTTCCTATTAAATAAACATCCTATTACAATAGAATATTAATTTATCTGTAAGGTTTTTAACCCCGTAGTTACCAGACGTGTGGTTCATTTGGTGTTCATTTGTATGCGATGTGTGTTTCTTTGCTACGCTGTGGATAAGTGAAGTTTCCAGAAGTTGTTTGACCCTAACTCCAGATGTCCAGGGTGGGAGGTCATAGCAGAGGATGAGTCCAAAGAAGCCGACCAGCACGGCTCTCTGGCCAATCTGGACTCTTCTCCCGGCACCTCGGGGCACAAGATGGGTCATGGAGCATCAGGTAGAAACAACACAACTTATTCATTGTATGAAGTGTGGAGAGAAAAGGATTTGCTGATTTTGTAGGTCTCCTTAATAACAAAGAGTTTCAGGCGAAAAATAATTCCCATTCTTTGGGTCGCCATGGATACATTGTGAAATATTTAGTTTGCTTTGAGTTTCTCACTTTAATTTGTTAAAGATAAACCAGTGTTTCTGTTTGCTGTGTGTTAGTTATACAATGAAAGGAAAAGGAACCAATCAACACACTCTAACAAAAAAAATGATTGATGTTCAGCTGTTGATGAAATAATTCCTTTGCAGTTTAAGATGATAAATTACTTGCATGACCATTATATTTTAATTTTCTCATCATAAATGTCAAAAATATTTTTATGCATTCATATTAAAAGCAAGATGGCTCCCAGCCATTTTCCTGTTGCCCTCTTGTGGTTTAGCAGTTTTGGTTGTTTGGTGCCAGGTATTTTTTTTGTTTTGTTTTTCCAGGCTTTGTTATATTGTTGTTCTGCAATTTTGGAAATGTTGTGCTCTGATGTTTTGGCTACAAAAATGTGGTTTTGGGATTCCAGTGAATAAGATCTCCCTGTCATTATTTGGTCCTGATGTGGGATTGTAGTTTGGACAAGTCAACCAACCCAAACAAATTATGAATGAGATATGTTATATTCATAATTAATTATTACAAAGAGAACAAAAGGTCCACGGAAATGAACTAGTCTCTCCATGAACACAAAATGTAAGTAGAAATAAATGATAGCTATGGTTGGTGAAAAGGTGAAATATCAAATTTCCTGCCAGACATTGTAGCGGTATTTGTGATCACCATTGATTCCTCTTTTCATTTTAGCTTAATAGGAACTACGCTGTATGAAATGTGAACCGTTTTGCCTTTTTGGTGATGGATTTTAGGTTTCAGCATTTTTCTGATTGGTCTCATTCTCTAAAGTCCCACATGACGAACTGAGGGAGATCTTCAACGACATCAGCAGCTCGAGTGAGGATGAGGAGGATGAAGGGGACCGGCACGACGACGAAGACCTGAACATCATGGACACTGAGGACGATCTGGTGCGGCAGCTGCAAGACAAGCTGAACGAGTCGGACTCGGCCCAGAATGAAAGCGACAGAAACAACCAGATAGGTGAGGAACAACCAGATAGCTGATGAGGCAAAAGCTTAGTTTCATACAAATTCTGGTGTTTTTTCTCAGAGTTAAATTTTCTTTCTGAATTTTGGACTTTTCTGTCAAAATTGTGACTTTTTTCTCAGAATAAAAAGCCAAAAATCTGAGACTAAAGTCAGAATTTAGACTTTTTTCAGTTGCTTTAATCCTCTTTTGTATAAATTGTATGTTCTCCTCTTTCCTATTTTAAAGAACAGCTAAAATAAATTAAACCTTATATGTTGCAACTTAAAAAAAAAAGCATTAAAAAGACCCAGACTGGATCCTTTGGGTAGAGCTCAACCGTTTACTTCAAAAATAAAAACAATACAATTGAAAATTATCCTCAAAAATGATCAAAATTAAAAGAATAATAAGCATATTTAAAAACTGTGTGGTTCCAGGTCAGTATATATACACACACACAAACCTCCTTAACTGTCTAATAAGCAATTATATTTGCTAGTTTAGTTTCTTATATTACAAATCTTTATGCATGAGAAGCTCTAACCCGTAAAATATCGTCCTGTACACATTTGAACCCGTAAATAGTCACTTTTATCCTAATAATCGTAAATCATAAGAATTAATTTATCCTGAAGGTCTGAACAAACTTAAACTGAATTTATGCTTCTAAAACATTCTTTAACTACCTAATTAACCGTAATTAAATGTTGGATTTTTTGAATCACGTTTAATTGTTGCTTTAAGAAAAGGTGAATTTCTGTAAAGGAGTTTTAATCATCTTTACCAATAACTAAATAATGTGTATAAATTAATTTAAAACCAATTGAAGTTAAGATATTTAGCTGTTATATTATTCTGTAACCCCCTTTTTTCTCTATGAAGTTTATTACCATAGTTCAAATATTCATGTACAAAAGCCAAAGGATGATCCCAGATCAAGGCTTGTATTTGTTAAATGTAAGATATGGACATGGGTGCCAAGCGCAGACTCTTTAATTTAAACAAATTCACATTCAAATAACCTCCATACCTAACTGTATGAAGCAATAGGCGCCTTGGATTATGCAATGCTTCACGCTGGGCTTGCAAGTCCCACCTCAGGCTAAATGTTCCGCCTCTTAGCCGACTCAGATGCTAATTTTTCAGGCCTAGTTGTCACAGCGACAAGGTTGGACTTTGGAAGAAAGTTTGATGTTAAATTAAATCAGATCGCCCTCAGGTACTTGTCAAAACAGATGTAAAAAATAAATAAATACACTGAGCCAAGTATCTGAACTTTTAATAAGAGCTGAGTTTTTTAGGTCAGACATCACACGCCCAGAGTTAAATAAATAGCCCCTCTTTCACTTAAACACACATGCTGTGCCCCTCACACACTGACAGCTCTCAGCTAACCAGCCTGACAGGTGTTGTGTCTCAGCATGCAGCTCAGGCAGCTGCCCGCTCTGGCAGCGCTCTGCCTCCTTATCTGCATACATGAAGCTGTCAGTCAGCACCACTGGTCAGCTCCAAACACACTTTATTCCCAGTATGTTTCAAGCTGGCTCACAGTGCTTCCTGCAGCAGTTCAAGGTTGTGATCAGCGACGCCGCAGTGGCTGCTTCTTCAGTAATTTAACAAAATGCAGCAGCTGCACCAGAATTTTAAGCACCAGCCATTACAAGCAAAGAGAGGGTACAATTAATTTGATTAATGCAGATGCTGATGAGGCAAAAGCTTAGCGTGACACAGTCCGATTCAATTTAATAGGAAGGTTAAGCCTACAGTGGTCTGGTTTAGTTGTCTCAATTCCTTAAATTGAACAATTGTTTCCTTTAGATCCAATTTGTTAGACTCCTCTTCTTGTGCTAAAGGTGTATGTGTCGTCCCTGGAGTGCTGCTTGTGAAGATGCTCCTGTAATGTTTCAGCTTTGCTGCACAGGAAAGCAAACACATCAATGTTTTCTTTATGTTTTTAATATTTCTAACATACGAACCACCTGCTGTTTTCTGCAGTAATGGACTATCAGGTGCAGATTAACAACGTTAAGGTCAAGCTTCAGGAAACGCGTGCCAGAAAGAAACAGCAGGAGGAGCTCATCATGAAAGTGGAAAACCAGGCCCTGAAGGTGAGCAGCGAATCCAATTTCGGATCACAGAAACACAAAATATCACCAACTATCTTTGGTCTAGTTTTTAGTAGGGGTGCACCGATTTAGCCAGCCGATTTCCTTAATTTTGGGGGATGACTTTTACATGTGAAGCCGATCTTATCCACCGATCTTATCCACCTTGGCAAACGTCTAAAAATCAGCCGCTGCCCTCTTTTACTCTCCCATTAGAGAGGTTTGACTGATCAACCAGTCAATCGACTGCAGATGCAGTCAGTGCACCCCTAATTTCTAGTGCAAATATTTTACTTGAAATAAGACAAAACTAACTTACAATTAACTTATCAACAAGATACTGGTGGTGGTAATATTGAGGAAAAAGCATTACTTCCACTTACACCATTGGACAAATGTCTTATCAGTGAAATAACCTAGTACTTTTTAATCAATATTAAGGAATTGTTGATTTAAAATAAACTCCTATATTTTGCTGAAACGTCACTTGTGAGTTTTGTTATATTTCAAGTGTACTAAGATATTTGCACTACAAACCAGACCCAAAATACTTGCAATAATTAGTGTTTTTGCAGTGCAGGGTTTGTTTATGCAGAAATATTTCTTCACTGAGCAGCTATTTAATTTCATTCATAATGATTGAGTCTCCTGCAGAATCCCTGTTTTTTAAATCAAACTTAAAGGGGATGGATACAAATGTATGCCACACGTTTTAGATTTTTGGTTGTAAAAAAATGTTTTATGTGTTTAAGGAACATTTCTATGCGTTGCTGTTTAGCGCAGAATCCATAAAAACGGAAAAATCTCCCTCTTCAACCCTGCGCTCTTTATTGAAAGCTTCACAATGAGTGGAGCATGAGCAGACATGGGGCTTTTTCAAGCTGCCATTTCGAGCTCTCATTTCCTGGTGTTTTGGGACCGTCTCAGGCTCATCACCAGTCGTTATAATCACAGTCGCGTCGAAAAGGTCAGCTGTCTCTGACTGGCATTCCAAGTGGCCTTTCTGTCACAGAGAAGATACTGACATGAGCAGACACACATTTAAAGCCATCACAGTTTAATGAGGCTCAGCATGTCGACTCCTGCTAATCCTGTTTGTGTCTCTCTCTCCTCGCAGAATCGCTTCCAAGCCTTGCTGGATGACATCGTTCAGCAGGAGGAGCAGGAGATGGAGCAGGTGAGTAACTGTTTGGTAATAACTTCACGCTGGGAGCTTTTCACAGCTTTCAGCTCTAAATACCAGCCTTTACAGAAAAGTTAGAAGGTAAAGTTGAATTTCTTCTGAAATTTATTGTGCTGTGAAGAGTTAATTATCGTCTTCTTCCTCCGCAGTTTAATTTGGTTCAATCATGTTATGTATTTTATCCCCCAACAGCTGGCCTCGCTTCAGGAGCAGCTGGACTCCCTGATAGAGAAGTGACCAGCAGGGGGCAGTCTCTCATCGTCTTCAGCCGCTCCTCATCAGGAGAATGAAAAGGGAGGAGGACGTGTCCTCATTCAGGAAGGAGGCGTCTTTTATCAACGAAACTTGCCTTGTCATTCCAATTTGGTCGTTTTTATGATTCACATCTGCAGCGTTTTTGATTTGTGAATAGTTTAGAAGGTTTTTTTTTCCAAGTTGCTGCATTATGCATGTGCATTTGGGGCTTTAGGAGGATATATTGTGTCATCCTAAAATAAAATATGAGTCTTGTACAGGTTTTGCTTCTGTCTTTTCTGTGTAAGAATGAGAAAGACATGTACCAGCGTATTAATATTCTTTAATTTGCTTCATCCATTTAGGGTGCAGATAAACTTTTTTCTGTATTATTATTTGCTCTTAATTGCACAATTTTTTAAACCATTGCTTTAAAAATATGTTTCTGCCTTTTTTAACTTCAAAATTAATAACAGTCAAGATGGAAATGGCAGAAAGTTAACTTCTTTTTTTCTTTAAGCAATGGTTTAAAAAATTGTGCCAACAGAAGTGGGGTGATTTCCAGTTAATACCAAATAATATTAAATAAAAAACTTAATTTTTCTATAAAAAGTTAAGTTCATTTTCCTAATTTTGTTAGCAAAATTTACATTTACAATAATTTCAATCAACAGATTAAGGATGAATTAAAATAAGAGGGTAATATAAAGTGACTGTTTAAGGTGGTGTTGGTAAAGTCACAGGTTATTTAGTTGTCTCACACAGAGGATAAGTGAAGCTCTTCCATTATTCATACCTGCTGTCTTTGCTTAGCAGCCAAACTTATAAAAAAATCTTTATTTTTGCTCATGAAACAAATAGGACCTGAACAAAACCAAAAGGTTGCCATCAGCAAAATCTCTCAGGTGTCCTAAATAATTCTTATTTTTTTTGTGTGTTTTTGTGTGCTTTGTACTAAATGTTAAAAGAAAAATAAAGCAGAAATGTTCAAGGTTGAGGCTGTAAGAACTCCAGATCCTCATCTGTGGCCAGATAACCTCAAAACAAATCCATCCTCATTTCTGATGGAAGCAGATTAAAGGATGATAGTTTAGGTGTGTTTCTAAAAGAAACTCAAATAAATTAAATTAAATTAAATAATAAATAAAAGTTTGAATATTTGACATTTAAAATTGAGAGGACTGACCCATCTTCTTCTCCCGAGATATATTTAAAAAAAAAAGGCTGAATATGTGTTAGGGAGCTCTTTTTCTTTTATGTTTCTATTCTCTTGTCATTATCTGAATTTCACTTAATTTAAAATGAAGAGCATCAAAGAGTGAGTTGTTTGATTCATGCTTTATTGGACCAAAATGGAGGTTGTTTTCAGAGTTTTACTTTTAATGGAAAGGAGAAACAATCTGTTTTTGACCTGCTGGTCACTGTTCAAAGAAAACCTGGCCAATTCTGATCACTTGCTGATTGATTACTGTCTCCCAACAGGAAATAGGTCATTGTGTCATGTCCAGTCTCACTAATCAACTCCAAATTATTTATATAACTCCTTAAAGTCAGAAATACAATGCATAACAAAGTAGACAAAATAAATAAGCACAACAACAGAAATAAACTAAAACCATATTATGTAAATGACTGGCAATACTTTTAAAAACAATTAAAAAGGAAAGTATTAATTAAAATGCATATTTGAATGGAATAGTTATAAAAAAGTTAACTGGCTGACCAGGAAGACTGACACATAATGTCAACAATAAGATATTAAAAAGATATATTAGTTTTAATTGCATGGAGGCCATTGGTGTCCTACTAGAAGTTAAGTCCAGTTGAAAAGCTCTACTGAGGTTTTCTGAGAACAGCAACCAGATCTGCATGTAGTAACAGTGAAACGTTGTCGGTAGAGACAATGAGCTGTTTTAAATAAGTTGGTATCTACTACTGCCTTCTGAATAAACCTTTGAGATGTCCAAGGAAATCCTTGAGCTTCAGTAAAATGAGGTTGATCTAATTAGGCTACAGTGTGATCCGACGCTTAGCCATTTTTTAACGTTTAATTTTCTACACTAATATGTAATTAACTGTGGAAGTTTATTACACAGTCGTGTTTTGTTATTGATGATGTAGCCAAGGGGAGCATTGTTGAGATTGGAAGTGGAACTAGAGCACAGCCCTGAGGAACACCTTAGTTAACTCCAGTAGGTGATGGCAATTGTAATAGGAAAATGTAATATGTGCTCCTGAGGCTTCTTTTTGTTTAGGTTTTCTGAATATTCTTGCCATAAAGTCAGTCAGCTGCTCTCACTCAGACATTCCTCTGCAGTGTCAACAAAACGGTTGGGGTCAGACCCATGATGCTCGAGTCAGAACTTATCAAGATTTATCCTCTTTAGCATCAAACACAGACTCACTTTTCTTAATAAAAGGCAAATGGAAGAGTCATTGGTCCATAATAATCCAAAACTTCATAAAACCTGTCTTCGATTGTTAGGAAACACACAATCACAAGATTTTCTGACCAGAACCTATAAAAGAGACCCAGAATCAACTGCTAGCTAGAACAAACCTCACAGACTCCTGTATTTTTGTTCTGATCTTGCATTGTTTTAATAAATTTGTCATGTCTTATCATCCAGACTATTGTTAAAGTATTTTTTACAACACAATGCCGTATTAATGTTGAACTGAAAACTGCACTTTCCTAAAAGACATGACCTGAGCAAAAACCTGATTTTTTATTAAATCCAACACCAACAGGGCAAAGTATGAGTTGTCTTTTAGGTTATTTGACAATACTTCAGGTGAAACTTTTTTCTTTATCAATCTGATGAGGTTAGATATTTTATTATTTACCTTTGAATCATGAAAGTTTAAAAACAAAGACTGTAGAAAGAGACTCGTTAAGACATGTTGAATAAACCATCAATGACAGGTTGTGTGCAAAGAGAAAAAAGAAAATCAATTATTTTGTTGTCTGTATAGTTAAAAATACATGCTTATGTTTTGAAGCAGTAGTAGAAGCTTCAGCCTTTCGATTACTAGACACTGTAGTACAAAGTAAATTAAATCTGAACAAGAATGGTTATTTTAAGATTTGTTCTCTACTGAACAATTCATAGGGTGCAACCAAATCGATGGCGGCACTAGAGATTTTTTTCTTACAGGTGCGAAAAGAGGCAAAGTATTTTATGAAGGATCATTTGTTCTTCATTCTCAACACACACAGAAGAAGCTACAAGTCAAGGTGGATATTGAATAATTGGTATTCTGAACCGAATAACTGCAATATGGCTGACAAACATATCACAATACAAACATTCATATTAGTCAATATTGATTATTACTGATTAGTTTTTTTCTTTTAAATATCTGAAATACCATGCATGTTACTGTACGTACGGAAATGTCGCGCAGGCATACAACGCCTGCGCGACATTTTACATGTCATCCATCTTTTACATGGATGACATGTAAAAGACTAATCTGCCGCGTTAACTCAGTGAAACTTTGAAACGTAATTAATTTCGTGCTATCCACAGCAAATGGAAAGAGGTATTCTCCACGCTGCACGCAGACTCGTTGCCATAGCAACTGACAACAATGCCACTTCATGTTTTAGGATATAACACC